GTGCTTGGTGATCGCTGCCGTGCGGCACTGAAAAGGCGGCCCGCCGTCCCGCTGCCGGAGGGTCGGACCTTCGCTTGCCCTAGGACTCGCCGAATTATTAAGCTTTAAAAGGCCTTCATACAGCATTTGCAGGCCGGAGTTAGTTCTTAAAGGCTGTAACCGTGCTCCACGTCAAGGGCCCCGTGTAAGCAAACTGGCGACTGTAAGGCAGCTTTGCTTTACGGGGAGAGGCATTTAAAAATACGGACGTGTCACTGAAGGAACTAACCAAAAGCCGAAGTACTCAGAAAGAGTAGTCGGTCGCTTTTTTTTTAATTTTATTTTTAATCCAGAATACCGTCAACTTGACGGTTTAAACAAGATCACAGGGAAAAGAGTCTAAAGAAGCTGGTGAGAAGAGTCTTTTCCGCGTTCTTCCAACTCGTCACGAGGATAGGGCAAAATGTAATTGAAATGCAGAAATTATTTAAGTGGATTTAAAGAGGCTTCCACATCATCGGGAGGCGATGACAGGCGTAAGGAAAGAGCATTTGAAATGCACCCGTTTGCTCAAGCAGTCGTCGCATGCTTCCCATCAGAAGGGAGATGCAGTCGGACTGGAACTGCCACTTGCAGAGTCATCTTCTTTTGGATCAGATTTACAACTCGGCCCAGGGAATGGGAAACAAGATCTCAGTATCATCAAAAGGAAATGCCTCCTACTGACAGGAGGAGGATTATTAAAAGGCAGACCATGCGAGAGGCAAATCTGGTGATACTAGACACATCCTTATTTAACAAAGCTGGTCTTTGAAATTTTTTAAGTACTTTTTTTCTGGGATCTGCTTTCATCCAATGTTAAAGTAAAATACAAGCAAGTGCTGGAGGGATAGAAAAATGGCGTCTTTAAATGATGGTAATTCTAAGACGTAAGTTCTGATCAGTTATGGCACTGTTTTGTGATTTTAAAAGTAATCTGCATGTAGAAGTGGAGGAATTAATTACTCTGTTTTCCACTGGATACCTTGTGGGATGAAACTACCATCTTTTTTTTCTTGAGACAACACTGGTTCTCAGATACTTCAATGCATTTAAGGAAATTTAGAATTATAGAATCACAGAATGCTTTGGGTTGGAAGGGACCCCTAGAGGTCATCTAGTCCAACCCTCCTGCAGTGGGCAGGGACACCTTTAACTGGATCAGGTTGCTCAGAGCCCCGTCCCACCTGGCCTCAAATGTTTCCAGGGATGGGGCCTCCACCACCTCCCTGGGCAACCCCTTCCAGTGTTTTACCACCCTCACTGTAAAGAATTTCTTCCTTGTATCCAGTCTAAATCTACCCTCCTTTAGTTTAAAACCATTACCCCTTGTCCTGTCACAGCTGGCCCTACTAAAATG